TTTCTTGGCTTTAGGGTTTGCGCCAAGCTTCTTATTCCCCCTTTCATCTGATTGAACAACCAGTGCAGCAGGGTTTCCCTCTCTGTCACCTCCTCCCCCACCTGGCAGTACCACAACCTGAGGATTAAGATTCTGGTCATCAGCTGGTGGGTTTGGATTATTATCATCCGGCTGTATCTGAACAGGGGGCCCTTGACCAGGTGCTGGTTGATTTCCTGGTCTCATGGTAACATATAATGTTTCAAAAAGATCATTTGTGGTGTCTGCTTCTAATCTTTCCAATTCTGTAGCAGCGCTTAGAGTCCAGTGCTCCCCCATATGCCTGAACTGCTGGCAGGGAGGGATCACAGGAATCTGTACAACCTGCCTTAACTTTGGCCACTATCAGCCACAAATGCAGATATTTTGAGGAAGGACTCCCTGCTGGCACATGGGCCTGTAAAATTGCCAGCTTGCATTTATCAAAGGAGCCTTCTCTTGGCCAGCGGAGCATTTGTTCACAATTTTTAGTTAATTGTTGCCAAGTTCGTCTACACAACGAGATTAATTTCTTAGGAGTCAAACCATTGGCCCATTCATGTTGTTTTTGATGGGAATTAAAATGGGAAAGCACAATCTCTAGGGGAGATGACTGCACAACCTTGCTAACATTCCCTCCCATAATACAATTTCAATTAACACAACAGGCACGCTTGCACACACGCTTCACTCAGATAGAGAAAAATGGTGGTATGGAGAAAAAGAGAATGTACTGTTTTGGTTACTTTGTGTCGCTCAAGCTTTCAATCCCTAGAGAGTTATAGACCTCTCCTTCGGGATGGGCCAAGAGGTCTCCAGTCTCTTGCGAGAGCGCCCCAAAACGGTTTGGGCAAATAAAATTCCACAATTCCCCCAAAGCAACACACGCACTTATAAATTTCACTCACACACACACTTATCCCACCCACTTATCTTATAGCAAGAAAGAATGAAGAGAAAAAAGCGGGCTCCAAGTACCCAACTCGCTGCACCCCCCAGGAGACCGACTTCTATGGTTGTGCAATGAGGCAGTGGGATATTGCACATCTGTCAGTGCAGCAACAAAATGCTGAAGCTTGCACTTACAGAGGGCTTAAGTTCTGCCTACAGAACTTCTATCAGCTCGTGCTCAGACCGGCTGGGCATGCTGAGAAACTATAGCGCTCCCAAAATTCTATTTAGGCATTCCCTGCCCCTTCTAAGTGCCTCCCACAAAGGCTGTCCTTAGGAATCACACTTGGAAAATCAAGGATAGATCAGAGAGAGAGAAAGTATATATATGTACTCACAGTTCCAGCGATGGGTTCTTCCTTGTGGCATGGACACATGACCAATCCCGGTCTCGGCACCAAATTGTTGTAAGAATGCACCTGTAGCACTTGTCAGTCTAAACTAACCCTGTATAGTGTTACCTGTACCTCTAGATTCGTAATGGTCTGGTGTGTGCCCCTTACCAAGGCAGGTAGAATGATAAAGGAAAGTTAGCTGGAATGCACACAGGTTATTTAAACAATAAAATAGTGTATTAGCTAAAGACATGCAAGAAATACAAAACAGAATCCTTACTTCAAAAGAAAAAAAGACAGTCAGTGGTTATATATATATAACCAGGGGTCTTGTTGTAGAAAAAGAGCTGCCGGAGCTCATTAGCATAACTCATTAGCATAACTTATTTGCATATGCCACGCCCCCTGACATCACCGGAAGTGACAGAAGGCCACACCCCCTGACATCACCGGAAGTGTGTCAGAAGGCCCGGCTACTTACCCTCCTGCTTCATCCTCATTCCCAAACGGAATGAGGATCGAAGCAGAGGGCGGGGTAAAGAAGGGGCGGGGCTTCACCACGTGACCGCCCCACCCCCTATTCTGGACTGGCCCAGAGAGATCACGAAAGGCAAAGCCTTCTCTGGATCTCTGAGAGTCAGTGCTGAAATGAAGCTTCTTGCCTTTTTTTATACCATTTTGGTCCCATACATTTCGATAGAGCCATAGAAATCATAAACTGCATCAATTAATTTAACTGCCCTGTTAATTATGGGCCATCATGGCCTAGATGTTCACACATTCCACAGGCAATGGGGCATTCTGATGCTCCTTTGCAAAACAATACAGGATAGCACTCAAATATCTAAATGATAAAGACAAGAATGTTACAATTTCAGGATATTCTTTGTTTGCTTGACTCAAGGCAGACATTTAGGCACTGTCTGATGGCTGCAGGTGAGATGTGGAGTTCTGCATGTAGGCAAGCCTTAGTATTGCAAATATCTTGGCTTCCTCCACTTAATGGCAGGGGCATACCAAGCTTTTATTCTTAAATGTTTCCAAATTCTTTAGGTCTATGAACAATGTCATGCAAATGTTGGTTCCTGGGTAAGAAGGAGGAAAGATATCTTTTTGAGACAAAGGCCTATCGAAATCATGTTGGGGATCCTGTTCACTGTGCTGCTTGGAAAGTTGCAGAAATGGAGGAGAGAAAAAAAACACACCATGATTTCTTTATAAAATTAACTGTATAAATGGGGTGTAAATTTTCTGACCCACTATTTTATTTTTCTCACAACAGTGGTTTGATTTAATGGCGGCACAAAAGACAATTTGGGGGTGCCCCCGGCTACAGCTCCCTCCAACTCTACCCTCTTTTCTTTCCCAGGCGGCCCCTCCTCTTTGCACACCCTCCACTATTTCAACACGGCCATCTGGGAGCGTGGCTGGCAGATGCCCCAGCTCACCTCTTTAATGTACGTGGATGACCAGCTCCTCGGCCGCTACAACAGAGCCACCGACCAGTGCATGCCTCAGTCGTCCTGGATAGAGGAGATCAGCCACGACGACAATAACTTCTGGGCCAGGAACACAGGATGGGACTTTGGCAACCATATAGTCAGAGATCTGATGATTCTGAAGAACCCTTTCAACCAGAGCAGGGGTAAGTGGAGGGCAGGAGGGGCTGCAGACAACATCCTCCTCCGAATCTTCTTATCTAGCAGGGGAGGGGGGGCGCCTGGGGGAGTGGAACCACTGAGAGGGTGATTAAATTGTGGGTGTAGTGATAGCCACTGGCATAGACCGCTTTAAAAGGGGATTAGATTCATGGAGGATCATTCTATCAATGGCTACTGGCACTAATGCTCTGAATCCCAGAGCCAAGAAGCAACATCAGGAGAAGGTCTTGGCCTTTATTCCCTGCTCCCTCTCTCACAGAAATTTGGGGAGGCTAATGAAGGTGTTGAGAAACAGGTTCAGGACACATGAAAGACTTCTTTACTCCTTGAGTAATTAAACTGTGTAATTCTGTACCAGGGGTGATAGTGATGGTCACAAGCATCAATGGCTTCAAAAGGAGATTGTAGTGATTAATGGAGAATAGGTCTATCAGTGGCTACTAAACATGGTGACTGAAGGCAGCCTCCATATAAAGAGTCAGCACAGGGAGGCAACATCAGGGGAAGGCCACGGCCTCTCTGCCCTGTTGTTGGCCCTCCAGAGGAACTGGTTGGCCACTGTGCGAGGCAGGATGCTGGACTAGATGGACCATTGGTCTGTTCCAGCAGGGCTCTTGGGATGTTCTTATGAAGGCCTCGGCCTCTCTGCCCTGTTGCTGGCCCTCCAGAGGAACTGGTTGGTCCCTGTGTGAGACAGGAGGCTGGACTAGATGGCCCTCCCTGGTCTGATCCAGCAGGGCTATTCTGATGTTCTTATGAAGGCCTCGGCCTCTCTGCCCTGTTGCTGGCCCTCCAGAGGAACTGGTTGGCCACTGGGTGAGACAGGATGCTGGGCCAAATGGTCCCTCATTGGTCTGATCCAGCATTGCTCTTCTTATGTTCTTATGAGTAACTGGCTGGCCAGTTTGGTGTAGTGGTTAAGCGTGTGGACTCTAATCTGGGTGAACCAGGTTTGATTCCCCACTCCTCCACATATAGCCGCTGGTGTGACCTTGGGTCAGTCATAAGTTCTTTCTAGAGCTGTTCTCTCAAGAGTGGTTCTGGAAAGAGCTCTCTCAGACCCACCTACCTCACAGGGTGTCTGGTGTGGGGAGGGGAAGCAAAAGGGATTGTAAGCTGCTCTGAGACTCCTTCAGGTAGTGAAGAGCGGGATATAAATCCAATCTCCTCTTCTTCTCTTAGCCATGGTGTGAGGCAGGATGCTGGACTAGATAGACCATAGGTCTGATACAACAGGGCTCTTCTTATGCACCCCTGCCCATCAAGGAGAGTCCCTACTCTTTACCTCTGCATTTCAATGCCCAGCCTCTTGCACCCAGTGACTTTGACAGCTAACAGATGAGAGGTTTGGAGCTGGGATTCATAGATGTCTTCCGTTCAGGCTTGCAGACATGCGGGCGGGGGGGAGGGGAGATGTGGTAGAGCATCTGCTTGGCATGCAGAAGGTCCCAGGTTCGATCCCCAACAGCATCTCCAATTTAAAGGACCAGGCAGTGGGTGATGGGAAAGACCTGTGCCTGAGACCCTGGAGAGCCGCTGCCAGTCTGAGTAGACAAGATTAACCTGGATGGACTGATGGTCTAATTCAGTATAAGGCAGTTTCGTATGTGTTTGTATGTGTTATGAAACACAGTCTGAGCAGCATAAAGATGTAGATGGAGCCAGAAGCTGGCCCTGAAGCAACTAAGTGATAAAACCCCTAAGTGAAAGACTGAATGAACAGAAATATTCTAGCCTGGCATGCCAAGGAAAGTAAGGTAGGTGCCAGGCAAGCCTCGTGTGGGAGGGCGTTCCAAAAGTGAGGTGCCACCACCAAAAAGGCCCTGTCTACAGTCACCTCCTTCCTCACCTCTGAAGGCGGGAGCACAGACAGCAGGTTTTGGAGAGGACCTTAATGTTGGATCCCCAAGCATCGAGAATAAATCCACGTTTTCAAGAAAAGCAAAATTTATTTCAAAGCGTTGAAGACATACTCAAACACGTTCTTTGTTAGAACTGGGGATACACAGTTAGGTCAAGCATAATAAAAGAAATTCAAACAGATACAGATCCAATGAATAGCATTCCCGCTGGCGGGCTAATGAAACGGTTGCGCGCCCAGTCCATGGGAACCAGGCAGAACATCAGACAAAACACAGGTGCAGTACTCATGAGAAAAGCAATAGGCAAGCATTACAGCATCTTCTCCCCCACACAACCTCCAGCAGTTATCTTGTGCATTCCAACGCAGGAGCAGGATGATAGAAAACAAGCCGGGTGCAACAGGGAAAGGATATGTACACAGAGGTCACAGAAAACAGAATGGCAGCTTGCTGACATACTGCCCCCCTTAAAATACACTTACAACACACCTCCCGGGCCGGGCGGGAGATCTCCCGGGCTGGGAGGGAGACCTCCCGGTTTGTCCGGGAACCTCTTGTGGAAATTACGGATCAGGTAAGGGGCCCGAATATCCCCTTCTTCCACCCATTCGCGGTGCTGGGGACCGAAATCAACCCATTCGATAAGGTACCAGAGTTTACCACGTTTCACTTTACAATCAAGGATATCAGCGATTTCAAAATGTTCATCCCCTTCCAAAATGACAGGCGGAGGAGGAGTAGTCTCTGGTCTCCAAGGAGACGGTCCAGGATCCTTCTTCAATAGACTCATGTGAAAGACAGAATGCAAGGCACGTAAATTCTTAGGCAAAACAACATCAACCGCCACATCATTTATGACTTTACGCACTTTGAACGGACCAATGAACTTCCATCCCAATTTTCTGCTAGGCCGCAGCATCTTAATGTTCTTGGTCGAGACATACACAAGATCCCCAGGTTTCAGATCAAACCCCACCACCCTACCCTTGTCTGCCTGGGTCTTGTAAGCAGCCTTGGCTGCGTCAAGTGTTTGGCATAGCAGAGGCCATGCATTTTGCAAGGACATACACCATGTATCAGCATCCCCCACAGGACGTTGGCCCATCCCCTCCAAGAAAGGGAGGGGGGGACTGTCGTAACCAGATACAGCTTTATAAGGAGACATGCCTGTGGAGCTATGGACCGTATTGTTATAACAATATTCAGCAAGAGGCAATAATTCACACCAATCATTCTGTTGATAATTAGTAAAACAACGCAGGTATTGTTCCAGAGTCTGATTAACCCTTTCCGTTTGTCCGTCAGTTTCGGGATGATACGCGCTGCTGAGCCCTTGTTCGACCCCTAAAATGGAAAGAAGTTCCCTCCAAAATTTAGAAACAAATTGGGTCCCCCTGTCAGAAATTAACTTAGCAGGTAATTGATGAATTTTCACCACGTGGGACATAAACGATTTCGCCAACCTCTGAGCTGTAGGCAAGGAAGGAAAAGGCACAAAATGAGCTTGCTTAGAAAACAAATCAACAACCACCCAAATAACAGTGTTCCCTTTGCTCGCAGGGAGGTCAGTAATAAAGTCCATGGACACCACTTCCCATGGTCTCGACGGAGTAGGGAGTGGCTGCAGTAAACCAGGAGGCTTGCCCATCCTGGGTTTAGTTAAGGCACAGGTTTGGCAAGACCTAACAAACAATAAGAGGTCTTTGCGCATTTGTGGCCACCAGAATTGCCTGCGGATGAGTTGCAAAGATTTAACGAAACTCCAATGCCCTGCCAGTTTCGAACCGTGAGCAGATTCCATCACCTCCCTCCTCATCGAAATAGGCACATACAATTTGTCTCCAGAATAAATCAGACCTTCAGGGCTACGGACACAATCAGGTAATGTCTTAAGGGAGGCATCATCCTCAGCAGTAAAAGCAGAAAGATATTTCTGGACCCAGGCCCCCCCTCCCACAGGGAACAGGGAAGGCGAAGTCTCATCAGAGTGTGGAATCGTTCGCGCCTGCGCCCGGGTGACTACGGCCCCCCCCAGATGGGAGGGGGAAAAAACAGAGTCCATGATGATCTCACGCTGACTGTCATGTTGTGGGAGGCGCGAGAGCGCGTCAGCCAGGGAATTAGCCGCCCCCGGGAAATGACGAAGTGTGAATCGAAACTTAGCGAAGAAGTCCGCCCAACGAAGTTGCTTAGCGTTGAGAGAACGAGGGGATTTCAGCATCTCCAGATTCTTATGATCAGTCCAGACTTCAAACGGCAGTTGCGCCCCCTCCAGCCACTGCCTCCAAGTGGAGAGAGCCAGCCGGATCGCTGACGCTTCCTTTTCCCAAATCCCCCAGTTTCGTTCGGCATCAGAAAACTTTTTGGACACAAACGCCAGGGGATGTAACCGACCATCTTCCCCTTCTTGCAAAATAGCGGCCCCCATAGCCACATCCGAGGCATCAGTTTGGACAATAAACTTCTTAGATTCATCAGGGCGCGCCAGCACCGGCTCGGAGGTGAACATCAGTTTAAGTTTCTCAAAAGCCTCTGCGCAAGCAGGGGACCATTTAAGCGGGGCGCCCGGTTTCGTAGCATCAAAACCCTTCCCTTTGGTCTTTAGCAACTCAGTCAGGGGAAGGGCAATTTGCGCGAAATTCTGGATGAAATTTCTGTAAAAATTGGCAAATCCGAGGAACATTTGCAATTGTTTGCGGGTCCTGGGGGGCTCCCAGTCAAGTACAGCCTGAATTTTAGCAGGGTCCATTTCAACCTTCCCCCCAGAGATGCGGTATCCCAAAAAGTCAATGCATGTCTTGTGGAATTCACATTTTGACAGCTTAGCAAACAAGTGGTGTTCATAAAGTCGCTTAAGGACCTGGCGCACCAATTTAATATGCGACTGGAGGTCCTGAGAGTACAGCAACACATCATCAAGGTAAAGGACCACTCCTTTGAATAGGAACTCATGTAGGACCTCATTGATTAGGTTCATGAAGACCCCCGGAGCCCCTTGAAGGCCGAAGGGCATAACGAGGTACTCAAACTGCCCCAAAGGGGTATTAAATGCAGTCTTACTTTCATCCCCCTCCCGGATGCGCACACGGAAATATGCATCCCGGAGGTCAAGTTTCGAGAAG